GAGGTGAGAAGAGAAGGCATTCTTTCTAATGTCTCATCAATTAGATCATTTCCTAAACACCAACACTTTTATCCTGATCATGCTGTCCAAATATTGTAATTGTTTGATAGCAAAGATACAGGTACCGATAAAGAATAAATAATGAGTTTGTGTATACATAGATAATCTCGATAATAGACGTTATTGAAAACTATACTTTTTTATTTAGATAATTTTGATAAATAAATAATGTATCAAAAATTTAAAAAAACACAATCTGAAGTTTAATTGGGGTAAGGGTTTGATGAATAACCTTCTACCCATTGGAATGTGTACGCTCATATATATTTACAAAAGTCTGTTTTATTTTTTTCAGATGGTTTCCAGGTAAACGAGGTTCTGCTTGATATACACGCTGTATTACATCAGAGAAACTAAATAAACATCGTATTGAAGGGACAATGTGTCATGTTTTTGATTGCCATTGCAATGCCAGACGCATGTTTTTCTATAACGTGTAATAGATTGTCATCTGAGTTGTAGGTATGATACTAATCCTTGCTATTTGAAGGCAATTGTGTTTTTGCACGCGAATGTCATCGTTAAATTAATGACTTGGGAATACTGTTGGGGATGTTCTCGTGTTCTTGCAATCTCGCGATCTCGACTTTTTAATAAGATAACTTCCCTTCACGCCTACATACACATATTTGCATATTACGAGACCACAAGAATGGCCTTTACTATATTCCATAGATGACACAGAAGCAGCAAGGTCACAGATTGTTCTCCATTTGTGTCTTCATGCCACAGGAATGGGAAAAATGTGACCTATTCTGACTCAGAATGAGATCACCAATGTTAAAAAAATTAGTGAACGATAATACTAGCACAAAAAACATGGATTGTTTTCAACATATACTTCTACATAAAATACATTTGACTTAATGAGTATTTGTGTTAAACCACCATTTCATTCAGGGAAGAACTTCCAGATAAATGTAGACGATTATCTGAAACAGTTAATCATATTATTATTATAACACACAATAAAAAAAATGTTTTTATGTTTAGGTGATGTAAACGGCTAGTAATAACCACATGATAACTAGACCACAACAATGGTTTCCAAAGGTATCAGCGAAAACAACACCTTTCTTCTTCCAGTTCTAGAAAAATTATGTCCTGTTGTTGAAGGCATGTTCACTGCAGGTGACGATCTCTACTATTGTGGAATATATGAATGAATACTTCCTAGCTGCTGTAGAAATCGAATGGGTGATCAATCCCTCGAGTGTTGGAAAAATCCGTACAAATTAAATAGAGATATATTGCTGGGTCCGGCAAATGTACCACCAAATCCCTGTATACAAGGCTAAACATAATCCTTATTACAATCAAGGAAGGTCTTTCCTTATATTCACAGGAAGTTCTTGAGACAAGTGGAGTTAATACCACGTAGATTCTCAAAAACTCAAAGGATTTGCTTGACTATTTGCAATCTCAAAACATTTGATTTTTTAACTTAGTACACTACTATCCCAAATAACAAACTTAAGGAAAAATCTCACTCCTTGATCCATGTTGTTTTTTTGTAACAAAACGTGGTGACCAGTTACGTATCTATATGCAGAGGTTCAGGACACATTGTTAAACATGAAAGCAATTGCCATCTAAAGTTTACTGAGAAAATAATATGTGAAATGCTGAACTTCCTCATTGATAACATCCACATAAAATTTTGGGGACATTTAGGCAAGATGAAGGCTTACCAATGAGCACCATTTGTGCAAACCTTCTTGTGGATATGCCTATGGGTTCCTCTCTGGCTCCAATCATCAATGAAATCGTCATGACATCCGTCGAAAAATCAGCCCTCTCCACAGCACCGTCATACCTCTCTGCTGGTACCGGAAAGCGGACGACACATTCAACACCATAGCCCACCAGAACGACCCCACAGAGGTCCTAAAACATCTCAACGCACAGTACCAGAGAATCTAGTTCACCATGGAGACCGAAACCAATCAACACCTTCCGTTCGTAGGTGTTTCCCTCCAAACCTATGATGAAGAACTAAGAACATCAATGTACCACAAGCCAACACACTTAGACCAGCACATCAACTACAACTCCCGCCACAATCAAGAACAAAGCCAACAGAGATGTCATCTTTTCTAGCGGAAAGATATTGTTAAGTTTCCACCTTTGTTATCATTTTGCTTTTGTTTTTATAGGTACATATATATGTTCTCTGCTTCATAGCATTTATTCATCTGATGAAGGAGTAAGTATATATACTCCGAAAAGTTGTGTTCTTCATAATAAAGAAGTTGACATCCATAAATTCTCTTCCTCGTGTGTATCACTTCTAAATGCCACCCAAAGACTTATTGCTCGACATGAAGGGAAAGTTGACTACTGGAAAGTTTAAATCATCCCTCTTGTCATACAGTCGGGTGGGGAGTGTTTTGTCACACTGAAGCTTTATGCATAGATCTAAATACGAAATAGATGCTTGGACACGTATGTTGAAAATTAATCTAACTTATAGAAACACTTACATACCTAAAGATATATTCGTGACGATACGCGATATTGTATGTCACATACCCCAAGGTGGGAATCGGGTGCTCACAAAGTATAATAATCCAGAAACGACGACAATGTAACACGTGACTCGATATCGACCAATCAGCAGATTTGCCTTCACTGTGTACAATACCGTATCGATTCGTCTTAACATTGGAAATAATAACCTGAATCAATGATAACATGCAAATGCGTTTGGAATACATAATTAACACTGCATTTGCTGAAAGGGACGCCTTGATAGAAATCTCAAATGACACACCATTAACATATCTAGCTCTGTTTACTGAATAAATTTTCATCACATTCTGAACAAACGGATCACAGCTAAATATCCTCAGGATTGATTTACGCCACCAACATTTATGTCGTGAGAGGTCAACAAGACAAGTTTCTGTATTAATAATACTCGCACAGCTTCAAGTTGTCTGAATGAGCTTGAAATTAACGGGACCTGTGTTCGTAGTGTGGTAGTTATTTATCATTGAATGAAGGTATATAGTCAGGAAGTATCGTCTTGATGGTGCAAGGAAGCACTTGCTTCAGAGACTGGTAGTGTTCCTTGCTTATGTGTAGTGAGTGATCTCAGGTACAATTGTATCAATAGCATTCATTGTATTGCTTCAATATAGCATCCATTATATAATTGTTTCCCGTCCCATCTGGGGTGAGGTTTTCTGATATTACTTTTGCTAAGTGAGGAATCTTTGTCTCAGTTTCTATAACTACTGGTTCAAATCTTTCTTTATTCCAAGTAAATCTGTAATTCGAGTTCTGCTCTAAGGATACTTATAAACTGTTTCATCCCATAAATTTAAGAACATACATGTTTCGAATTATCAATATGAATATCGTAGCGCGGAAACGTCAGTGAAAATATTAATGTGATTTTAAATTGTACATGTATTAATGGTTTGCATGTACTGAAAGGAAATTCATCAAATTGAAACATGTTTGTTTGCTTTTTATGAAGTCGTGTACCTGAAGTATGTTTCCCTTTCCCTTGAACATTTGGAAAATTTACTTCATAAACATGTATGTTTTAAAATGCACATAATGAAAGACGTATATTTTTTTCGTACAACTGCCGTTTGCACAGTTTGATGTGTTACTGTTGAATATTTATAATTGACTTCAATGAGTCAACGCCAGGCTGGTGGGTGGTGGTGATTCACAATGACACACTCAGCCGGGACTTCACAATAGAAGGTGTAGTTAGTCTAGTAATTTAGAGATACAAATTCACAAAACATGATTGTATGGAATGAATGTCATTCTTGTCAGTCTTGTCAATGATGTCTTTTGATATGGTACTGTGAACCTTTTAGAATTTTGAAAGTGTTTTATGTTCACACAAACCTTTCTCAAATTAAGTTTTGAAATCCACAAATTTAAAGAGAGGATAATATACTGAACTGTAAGTAAGGTGTTTCTTTTCAAGTCCACAAAAACAACGTACAAATTAGTGCTCACTGATGAAGATTAACAAAATTGATTTCATTGTATGCTTTTCTATTCTAGTGTCATAAAGTCTTAACGACAGGAGTGGTTTGTAATTGCCAAAGAACATTACAAAACAATAAATTTCAAATAAGCTTTAACTGCAGCAGCCAGTGTTGAATTTACGAATAGAAAACCTTGACACGCGATGGATTAATGTGTTCTATGTTCTTATGCAAATGCCATAAACATGATACCTATACATGTACAACTCTATTCATAATACACGAAAAGTTATACTTCATTTCAAAATCATGGTTTTAAATAACACTGTATTTACATTTTGCAATTCGCCCTCAAACATGTATTTTAAGAAAAAAGAATCCCACTCAGTTCTTGTCAATTTTGTCATACAAACCGACTTAAACTAAAAGTAATGATATATGTCATATCAAAATGTAATAGGGGGTAATCGTATTTATTTGATCATCAAAAATCATTATGTATAATAAATAACAAAACGATTCTGACGGAATACTATACTGTACGTTAATGAATAAACACAGAAACGTTGGATATTGTTAAATATGTACCTCCTGCTTGTATGTGTTAAGCATTGTTCAGCAAAACACGTCAGTGACAATATAGAAGCGTTTAATTTAAACGAAAGATGAGCTAAATCATATCTGCCTGCACTGTCCTGGCTTCATGAAGTGATATGTCAAACCCGTTTCACATGTCACCTGACGATTTTACCATTAATTACTACATGTTCAAACATAATCATTACAAATGTCAAATACCTAACGGAATTGTGGCGGTAATTGTCGCCTGAAGCAAATCAGGTGTTGCATCGGTGATCACAATATGATGTCATTATCAGAGTGACAGTTCAGAAGTGATGCAAATACGCCATATGTGAATTATTGCTCATTGAGTATTACTGGCACTGCATATGTATATAAAGTCAGGCTCAAGCTGTATTTGACACACGCCTCCATTTACCTCGAAGATCCGAATCATCCTTTGGATAAAGGTATGCATCATATTCCATTGTTCATGTTGTGGTCATGTGCATTCATTTAACTGAATGCAAAGGTTCTGGCAGCAACTGATGTTGTGATTGTAAAGAACAGATCATATGCTGTTAATTTATAATTTGTGTTCTTTGTATTACAAATTGATAATAGACATATTTTTCATGTTACTAACTGTGAGAGTTTACATAAGCAGTTATATTGTAATATGAAATGACGACTGGAAACATACTAGTACCTAACACTGACGTTTATTATTTCAGCCGTTTCAAATACAACCATGCAACTGAAGATTGTTTGTCTACTTCTGGTCGCCACTGTGGCCATGACAGCCGCATACAGGGGTCAGTACAACTCTCTGAGGAACCAAGGGATTTACGGTCGCTACGGCTACGACATTGAGGTTCCTGACTTCCCCGACTTTGACAGCTACATGTACAGATATCTGATGACGAGAGGTCGTCGACAAGGTAGACAGAGCAGACAGAACACGAACCGCTACAACAGTTTGAGGAATCTTGCCAGACTTGAGGCTCATGACCTTATCTGAGGTAGGTGAGAACTAGTCAGTTCTTTCCTATTTACAACTTTTTACACACACATACGCGCGCGCGCGTACACATTGTGGTGTGTGCAGTCTGACACAAATATATTAATTGTCATGCGAAACATATCTTCAGAAATACAGAACCTGAAATCGATTATGTAATGACATGTTTTGTAGCTTTCCGCTTGCAAGAGATATTTGACTACCATTTCAATTGCTTCCTCTCATTACTTGCGACCCTCTGCAGAAATTCACATCGTTCTTGTTCCAATTTTTCAGCAGGCATCGATCAGTGAATCTTATCAATTAATCCCTCACTAAGATCAATGTTGTATGTAGATATTTCCAAAATACACATGACATTTCTTGGCATAGAAATCTAATAACAGGTGTGATTAACATTTTTTATAGTTGTATATATCACATCTAGGACTTGAAACATACATTTATGTCTACGTACAGTCACGTTCACCTTGATATCGGTTTTATTTGTTTCTTTTCAGAATACACCGGTGTCATATTGACATGACATAAATATGGCTATTGGAAGGGGTTTCATATTTAACCACAAATTTACGTAGAAAATAAACATTTGAAATAATATATTTGTTTGTCGTCTCTGAGAAATTATATGCTGAAAGCCTCCTGGTAAACATTCATGGTACGAGGGCGTAAGTCTGACCAATTTCAGTAATATTCCAGCAATATCACGGCGGGGGACACCTGAAATGAGCTTCACACATTGTACCCATCAGGGTTTTCGGTGTGACGAGCGAAAGCTTTAACCACTACGCTACCCCACCGCCCTGACCCATTATAAATGTACACATAACTTATACACATTATCATCACACGAGTGAAAGACACATGGTTCTTGCACATTCAAACGTCCTGCAAGAAAGAAATAGCAATTTTCACTTCACTGAAAACACGTGTGTTGTGCATGCCTTCAGAACATGTGCTCTATTTCTTGATCTCACACGTTCCTTTTTAAGTTGTTAAATTATTCATATGTCGTCCTTCCAACCTGGTGGATAGAAACAAATGCACCGGTAAAATAAATCACGGACGCTGACATCCAAACAACCTCGACTTTAAATATCCGGGGTAAATACGAACCTCCCACTCCGCAAATTTTAAGACGTTAATTGGCATTGTGAAATACATAGGCTATCAGTCATTTGTTTAAGTACTCGCCTGCTAGAGTAATATCCATTTCGTCAAGCCAAACATGACGATTTTTCAAATTTGAGATTGAGAAAAAAGACACTAATCAAGAAAGTATTCATACGCAGTGAAAGATTCCCAAACACACATTCCAATTTTTCGATAATTGCTATGCATCCTTTCGGAGCACACTGCTATTGACTGCGTTACAGTAACTATACACAAGTAGTAGAAGACAGTGTCGCTAGTGTAAACTATCGTGGATTTATAATGAATGAAGAAGCAAACCATTGGGTCTACGAAGTCGAATCATATTACGACGGATATGTGGGTATTGCGGATTGGGGTGCAACCATCTGTACATATGGGTAACTTACTTTCATGAAATATTAATCCTTAACATATTCCTAAGGATAAATTTGCTAAATATGTCCTAGATTTTAATCAAACATCATGGTCCTCTGATGAGGAATGTCACGATACAGATATGTTTTTAGATATGAAATCTGATGTGGAAATATGACAAGCACTGAAAACTGGGTAAGGCAAATATCTAATGGAATAACTCCGAAGTTCTACAAATATCGTATGAATATTGTCCCATACAAATCTACTTTTCAATGCTATTTTAAAGACAGAGTCTTTCCCATGTGCTTGGAATATATGATTTGTCATTCATTTGTATCAATCAAGTAACTTAACAAATCATAACATTTATGCAGGAATATCTCTCCTAAAAGTAATGGGGAAATTATTTACTTCTTTTGCTGAACATAGGCTTAGATGATGGACTTAAATCAACGAAATCTTTTCGGAATCCAAAACTAGATTCAGAGAGGAGTATTCAACAACTGATACTGTTTTTGTTTTGCAGGCATTGTGTTAAACCAAAACATCGCTTTAATGATTTTAGAAAGGCGTTTTATTTTGTTTATAGAAACAACCTGTTGTTTGTACTAATTCAAAATGGCTTTCGTGGTCAAATAAATAAAGTTATTGTAAACATGTTTGTGCAAGTGTGAAGAAAGGTAATTGGAGATCGGATGTTTTAAACACCTCTTGTGGTGTTAGACAAGGCAGTATGTTTATCCTCTTCATCAATCATTTAGTGTCTGAAATAGACTCAAGTGGTTGAAATTTTGTGTAACTTGTGTAATTTTGAGTGAGTGAATTGAATGAAACATTTAAGCTACTGCTCTTTGCAGATGGTGGTGTTCTAATTGCAGACTCGGGGATAGAATTGCAAAGAAACTTAGATATATTAGAATTATTTTGCAATAAATGGGCAATCAAGGTAAATATGGACAAATCAAATATTATTGTTTTCATAAATTGTGGGTATCTATAAAAATGTGGAAAATGGTTCTTTAAGTCTGTAGAAATTTCAGCAACTTTCCATTATAAATACCTGGGCATTATGTTTTCTTCTAGGTTAATCTGGTCTGAAGGTGAGGTGAAATTGGGTTTAACGTAGCGTTCAAGATTATTGCACTTACATAGCGATGAGTATGTACGTGTGTGTGTTTGTGTGGCTGCTTGTACTAGTCCGGACTAATTATAATGCCGATTCAAGGAATCTTCAAGAAATTGATTTGGTTATACACTGTGACCACGAAAGTACTTCAAACAAGAAGACAGCAACATGCTATTTCAAATATAACCAAACCAAAATCGTCAGCTATTTGCTTTCAAAAATCAAATGACATTTATAAACCAGCCTGACTGTGCCAGGATAACCCAAACCCAAACGTGAGTATGGTTTCACGCCTCTTTTAGCAAGATTCTAGCAATATCACAGCAGAAATGGGCCAGAAATGGGCTTCACACATTTTACACGTGTGGGAAATCGTGACGAGCGAACGCTTTAGCCATTGCACTAGGCTTACCCACTGCCCCGTCACGTTATGTGTAAATACACCACGGCATCCAATGTGTAGATTAATACAAACGCAAATAGGAAAGATTAAACGTTTATTTTCGCCATTTGTCTTGCAATTTCATTTTAGTTTGTAGCACAAATCCATCAAGAGTACAGGAAAATGGTTTATCTGAAAACAAATGAACATAGATTGTTAATTATTATTCTCATCACGAACACTGTTTTTTAAAAATGTCATATATAACACAACTGTATATTTTATCAACTCATTTAGTTAGTTACTCCATATTGAACATACATTTCTATACATGTATGTCTCAGGTAAATCCTCATGAGGACCAGAGTTAGAATGAGTTGATGGTCGTCACAGGCGACTAAATTGAATCATCCGGGCAGATTATGTGAGCCGTGCCCCGGCGTGCCCATTCTAACCGCATGTACGCACAATGTACATGTATGTCTAAGGCAAATACCCATTGGGACCAGAATTGGAATAAGAAAAGTAAATAATCATGATAGTCACCTCTTTGAAACTGTGTGCATTTATGGATTGACTGCCGTTACTCGTCGGTTAGGCTATGCAGCTTGATACAGGTTGTACGTTGTCTTTCGATTTATAACTCGATGAACCGAAAATGAATGATAGTCTGTCAATATAAATTGATTTATTGTCGCAAACATCTATTTGATAGTGATTCACGAACGCCTGCTTATGATATTGTCAGAATCGTACAGTTGACCATGCCCTCAGCAGACATTTCTTATGTTTACGGACAGGATTTGGTCCTTTCTCTTAATATGAAAACACTTTCAATAAAGTTTCAGTCACACATATGAGAGACAACCGTGGATCCGGTCAGAGCGAAACTTGTGGATTTTGTGCAGATCAAGAATGAAAGAAAAGTTCCGTGCACAGACTGTTACGAAGGAAGTACAGCGGAGTCAAAGTGTCAGGAGTGATCGGTATATCTCTGTAAGGATTGCACACAGACGTCCTCGACTGACAAACGACCATCCAATCATATCCCTGAGTGATGTACTACAACAGCCCCTGAACACGTTTGGCACGTCATTTCTGCACTCATCACCCAAAACACCAGTTGGAGTTCTATTGTGCTACTGATGAAATCCTCTGTTGATTTCTTCCACAGTTCTGGAACATAAAGGCCATGACTTCCGGAAACTCGAAGAAGCTGCTAAAATACGACAAGGGGAATTGGAAACATCGATGCAGGCAGTCCAAGCAAATGCCCTACAACTGCGTCAGAGGCGACTGTGTGAAGAAAAACGTCAAAATGCAATCATGCAGAGAAAGGCCAAATCCGACGTGAGCACATACTTCAAAAGACTGACAAGTATTATCAAAATAGGAAAAGCACATTTGGACCAAGACATCGACCAAAGAAGTAGCACAATGCTGTCTCTGTCTAAGAAGGAAGTAGCAGCGATAGACCAGACTCTTGCTGTAATAGACTCAACTGAAACGTACTTCACACAAGCAAGAACCAAGGCTGACGTCGTGGAAATGCTGCAGATGTATCCTGCAATCAAGAGAAGTCTGGTAGCATCAGCTGTTGGACAAAGACAAGGTAAACCAACGGCACCGGAAGTTGTGACATTTAATCCCACAAATGGACAAATTGTGGAAACATTATTAGTGTCAGAAGTTGGATGCGTGAGAGAGTCTACTGACACCCAGAAAGGTAGGCACAACGTCTGTCGTGAGATTATCCATACCCTCGTATTAGTTAATGGCAGTTTGGTTTCCATGTGTGTTTATCATTGTTACAAGTTGTCAAACTTGTAATTTCAAACCTGCCGCAAGTGCACGAACAAACACTTTTCACCGAATATTGTCACGAACTAGCAACACATTGTTTGTAGTGGATGATATACTATGATAATACTTTGATGGTCTCAAACGTAAATATATTTCGTGGGACTATAGCTCATGCATGTATTCGAAATTAGTGTAGCCAAATGCAATATGATGAACACGTGGTTTTTTCGGTGATCATAATATAATAATGTTTTGCAATGATATTACCGTCCATCAGGAGAGCAGAGGGTTGGGGTTCGATCCCAAGGTCGCATTATACTGAAAGACCTAAAACCTGGCGGTCGGCAAGAAGGAGATAAAATAAGGACAGGTCTTCTCGGAGCTTGTAAAGTGCCTGTGTGGGGTATATCCATGTCAAACTGAGGCATGGTATCTCATGATGATCAACGGCCAAACACTATAAAACTGACATGATTCCGGACTAGTACAAGCAGCCACATACACACGTGTGCGATGTTAAACCCAATTCTAGCTAAACTCACCTTGTAAAGATATAAACTTCAAACCATACCTTATTTCCCTCTTTTTAGGAAAGAATGAACTTCTACGGTGTTTGGATGAAGTATTTGATGCTGCTTTAAAATAAAAAAGCAAGAATGAACTGATGAAACATTTCCAAAAGAAAACCCTCACCTCCGAACGAGAAACGTGCACCATCTGCCTGAATCAGATCGTAGAAGCAAAGAAGATAAAGTGTGGCCACTGTTTCTGTAAGAGCTG